TATATAGATATATATAAAACCCCTATTGCCATAGCTGCTAATAAATGTAGGCAATCTCAATTAAAAATGTCAGGCGGGCCTAAAGTTAAAGACAGGTACTGCATGTGGAAGTAAAAAGGGACCCGCAAGTTCTGCAGGACAAAGTGATGGTCAGGCAGCACCATCTTATGGTAGAACACATCTGCCTTTTTTATTTCAGAGTGGATGTGATATACAGTCACAGCACGTGCAGGAGGTAGTTGAGTGGCTGACAACGCCTTCCTCTTCCTTCTTCTCCCAGATGCAGAGCAGCCAGTTGTCTGCAACTGCAGTTAATTAGCCCTTTTTTCCTCCTCTAATCCTGCCATAGCCTTTCAAACGGGCAACAAGGAGTCAGTGAAACATTTAATTAGGTATCACTGATTTGCTGCAGAGGAATGAACTTGGTCATGCACAAGCAATCTTCTTTTAAGATATTGAAGATTAGGAAGACTGAGCCATGGTCAGAGAGGGAGGGGCAGGCAGCAGCAAGAGGGAGCAATATTCCAACAGCTGGAGCTTACTGTGAAGTGGGCTCAAGTGATGAGGAGGGGGTCTTAATGACCATATAGGGAGGGGGCATTAGGCAAGGAGCAGAAAGAGGCAGCGATGTTCCAGCAGCTGAAGCTTACTGTGAAATGGGCTCCAGTGATGAGGAGGAGGTGGATGATCAGATGGAAGGCTGTCCGTCTGTGCCACCAATTAGAGAGGAGGAAAGTCCCGAAAGAAAAGCAGAACAGAAGCACGGGACAGGGGCAGATTGCAGAGGACTGGAGGGAGCAGCCAACCTAAACCACACATCTGGCAGCAGTTTTTTTTTTTCCCCATATCTGCTGCCGACAGCACTAGTCTCTGCCTGCAGTGCATCATCCATGGTAGAAGCACCAGTCATTTAGGCACCACATGCACAAGGAAACATGATTCTACAAGTTAGGAGCAAAAGGCCTGTATTCCTCCTCATTAATCATCCCCCCACCCCCATCTGTGGCCTTTAGTGACAGGGACAGAGGTTTCAGAGACTTAGGTCATGATCTGTCAAGCAGGGAAGAGGAAAATGGGGCCGCATTAAGGAGAGTCAAGAGAAAGTTTGAACCTCTGAAAAATTCTCCTTACACCCACCCAGTAGCATGCTTCCCATGCTTAGAGTCTTAATGGCAGCTTGACAAAACTGCTGGCACTGCAGCTACTTCCTTTCCAGCTTGTGGAATAAGCCCACTTCTGTGAATTTATGGCCTGTGCTCCCCCCCCCCAGTTATCCAGAAGGCCATAAATGCCCTTCCCCAGCACGTGGAATGTAATGTACCTATGTTGCTGGACCATGCAATCAGTGAAAGAGTACATATGACCATAGAGATGCGGCCCAGTAGGCATGGGCAAGGACACTACATGGCACACTGGTTTAATCTTCTAGTGGCTGGTAAGGATGCAAGACAGGCACTCTGCTGAAGCTGGTGGTATCGCCACGTGTGTTGTCTGATGGTGAAAGTACAGCAACATGTACCCACTCTTTTTTCACTAGCCACTACCTCTGACTCCCAAAACCAAGATAGCCTTTCCCCCCACTCTCAGCCCCCCAAAGCATATGCAACATTCCAAACTAAATGCTGCCATGCTGTGTTTTAGTTGGTATTCCTGGGGACAGGAGACCAGAGCTGCTATCAGCTCTCTAGCTCAAGGCTGAGAGAAGGCTGATCCCAACACCATAATCAGCCTGGAAAAGATGTGGGTGACAATGGCAGTAACCTGCTGGCCATCCTTCGTCTGGGGGGAAAAAAATTAAGAAAAATCACACATGTACCTTGCCTGGCACACTTCCTAAATCTGGTGGTGACCAGATAATCATGAAGTACCCTGGCTTCCAGGAGATCCTACATCAGGCCAGAAGGGTTTGTTGCCATTACAGGCAGTCATACCCAGTCATGGCTTTCCTGGTAGAAATGCAACAGGCAAGCCATGACCAACATGAGCTGCCTACCAACTGCCTCATCTGCAACATTCCTGCATGCTGGAACTCAAACTTTGGCCATGCTGTCAATGCTGCACCAGCAGCAACATGCCACCAATGAGTACCTGTGTACTTATGATAGAAGGACAGGCTCTGCAGAGGGGGTTATTTTAGTGTGTCAATGACTCATCATTAAGGATATGTGCATTTAAAGAGGCAACCAAAATGGTAAGGTGCAACAAGGTATGTATTAGTTATACAATCCCTCTATTGTTCAAACTGGAGCACACACTCTGTGCCCTACTAGACCCTGCACTGAAGGTACAACAGAAGGAGGAAGAGGAGGCTGCTGTGTCAGGTCCAGCAGGATCCTTTGTCTTCTGCCTCTATCCCTGTGAGGCATAGGCAGCAGAAGGCAGAGGAAGAATACGAGGAGGAGGGTGGGGCTGCTGGATGTAAGGAGGAGGAAATGGGGCAGGTTTCACCCTGCCCCAACCTTGGGAGTTGTACATGTGTGGAGTGAGAATGTTGAGGATAGTGTTAGCCTGCAGCAGAGGACTATGAGTTCTTAGTACCGCTGAGGACATTTGTGGCAAATGGGGTCTTTTATGCTCAAATCCTTGCACAAGGACCCCAGGATTTAGGTCATCAAAGAAAGGGACCCTCTATTGGGTGGCCATCCTGTTAGATTCGCAATACAAAGATAAAATGGGCAATCTACTTCCACCATTCTAGAGGGACCCCAAAATTAGGCACTTTGAGAAGTAAAAACCTCATTGCCACATTTCCTGATGTTGGCAAGATCCCCTCTGATTACCAACATAACTCCAATCCTCTGACAAAAGGAACAGGAGCGGCTGCCTCAACGCCCCTTTTCAAAATTGTTTTAAAACTTAACAACCAGGCCTGGCTGCAGGCAGCACTCACAGGCAGTGCCTGAACCACATGAATGCTGACTACATCAAGTCCAGGGCTGATGCAGACAACTTCAGAAGTGCGAAACCCAAGTACTATCAGGAGCTTGTACACTAAGTGCTGGGCCTTCTGGCTTACCCTGCAGCCAGTGTTCTATCACAGGTCCTTCAGCGTAGCAGGTTTGGTTAGAGAGAGGCGAGTCCACATTTCCACCACACTTCATGTTTGCGACAGGGCAAATACTGTGTTGCAGCTTGATGTTTGTGTCCTATGCTAGTGCGTTGTATTTGTGCCACACAGCATTCCCAAAGCTGTGTGGCACATATATTTGCTGCAGGGTAAATCCCGTGTTGTACCTCTGAATTTGCAGCCTATTTCAGTGCTCCAGAACTAAAAAGGTACCACACAATGTTTGTGCAGCTGCACCACAGCTGTCAAACTGCTAAATGTTTGCAACAGG